CATGAGATCAAATTCATGAAGATATACAAACTTAATGAACATTAAAATGCTCCGTTATTATTACATTTCTGCCTGTGATGGGATTGAAATAATGTATATAAAGTTCATCTATGGGTTATTACAGTTGTCACGAACATAACTTAGTTCATAAATAATTATATCCTATAGAAGAATATGACATAATGCTGAAACAAAAGTCAAACTTCCATAGGTTCGGTAGAAGAAAGGATTTTATGGTCTGGTTCATTTACTGCTGTATACCCTACTTTTTCACTAAGTTCAGACATAAGATCACCGGATTTACTGCTAGATATCGTACAATCCACTGGCTCTTCTTCCGTTTCTCCATTCCTTTCTTTTTCACGCTCTTTATCTTCTATAACTTCGATTTTTGCAACTGCAACAATTTCTTTTTAGATAAAATGCATTAAAATATGATTTTAAAGATTCCTCTGCTTGACAAAAGCAATCCACCAAGTAAACCCTATGCTCATCATTCTGAAAAAAAGTCCTATTACATAAAAAAACAAACAAAGAAATAGAGTGAACTCTTTAGACGAACAAGCTAATAAAAACTGAAATACTTCAAAATTGAAATTTCCATTGCTTCCAAGAATGCCAAACTGTTAAAGGAAGCCTCACCAAAGAATGTATTCTACAGTATTTGAAACTAATAAGAGACAACACTCAATTATATCAGACTTTTATTTGAATGGTTTGCATGAAACTGAAAACCTTGTTTTTCAAATGCTTCATCAGTTTCATCACTGGTTTCTCTTTCTTTGTGCCCCTTCTCTTTAAACTCTAATTGTTGTTTCGACTTCTCAAAAATCCTTGTATGCTTATGTGATTTCTTGAATAATACAGCGAACTTCGGTTGTATTCCAGTGAGGTTCTGGCCAAGAGTAGGAGTAACAAAAGGACCAGGAGGAGGTAATGGACTTCTTCCTGACCTTGCTTCAGGATCTCGTGTTGTTAATCGATTCAGTATACTAAACTAAATGTTATAGTGATATATGCAAACACCGTAAAACTATTACACAAGAGTGAAAAACAAATTAAGTACTCTTAAAAACATTTCTTCAGAAAGCATACGATCGCTCAGTCATCCCCAAGCGCTCCGTTACGGGACGTAAACGAGATAAGGTAGCTGGTAATCTTGATACATCTCCTTTCATATCAGATAAAAGTTCCTCCAACTGGTTAAGCACCTATAACTGGATGGTATACGTGTGAATAATACAGCGTAATGTAAGTTACTGAAAAACAAAATTATGACAACACATAATTTGTCAAGCATAACAAGATATTGCTCATTTCTTCTATTATTCGAAACCAGAGATCCAGCCAACATTACGCTTATCAAGAAATAATTTCAGTCATCACAATAACTTACCTTATGTAATACAGTGTTTGCATTCTTATTACCCAGTAATCCATCTCTTGATAAGTGTACATGGCTTTCTAATAAACATTCAATATCTGCAAAGCGTTCACTCAACTGCTGTGTGCCATCTGTATTTGAGTGAGTTAAGTTTAAATAAGCCGCTCGCCTTAACTGCTCCTCGATAACTAGAGCCTGTTCGAGCAGCTAAAAATATTAATTACAAATCAATAGAACATAGATGAGGACAAATCATATATCTAACTACAATGTCAATTAGTGTTATATAAGTGAGGTAAATCAGAATTTTGCAAGAACTTTGATATTTGTAACTTCCAGACAGAAATTGCAGAAATCAATAATTTTTATGAAAAATATATACTTTGAAGCGCCGTTGCAAGAATTTATTCTTTATTTCTAGAAAATTTCCTTTCCCCTGTTCGGTACGAAACGGTTCATTTACAATGGCAAAATGTGAATCATTCTGTAAATCTTGGTACCGTCCATAACCATATCTTAAACGTGGAAGAATGAAAATCGGACAAATTAAATGAAGTGAAATTTTGAAGCAATCTCTCAAATATCATCGTGACCATTATCATTCTTCCTAATATCAATAAATTATTATTAGTTTAGCTAAATTACTTGTCATCTTGCCGCATTTTTACCAGCTGAATGAATTCCGCGCATGAAAATAAGGTTACTAACTTTTCCATGACAATCTCTTTTCATGATGTTCGGAAGCAAAAGGAATGGTGGAAAGAAACCTCAAAATTATTGCAAATAATACAAATTAAAAATTATAAACTTAATAAAAAAAGAAAGTTATTAAATAGTCACTAACGACACGATTCCGGATAAAAGCCAGTAATCATGGCGACGGTGCCATATCTCATACTCCTTTCCAGGAACAGCTGCCTTTTCCTCATTCAACCAAAGTGTATGTAATTCAGTGAAACCACCATCAGCAATATTAAATTTTACTGGTGGTCGAGCGCTTCTCGGTCTGGCAATAGCATCCACCACTTTTTTAATCGTTCCAGTTTCTTTATCACTTTTCAAATCCAACTGTAAATATTTTGTATCACCACAACAATGGGGACAAAACTGAATTACAAAAACAACTATGTGCCTCAGATTCGCCTTCAAATCAATCACGCAAGTATGTTTCACTATGCCTTTGCGAACTACATTTACTTTCACAGAAGCACGTCACGAATAGTGATTTAATTTAACAAAATTCAGATTTGAAACTATCACTTAAAAATCAAACCAAATATGATTTTGAATTGTGTTAATATATAACGAGAATCAAAACTCGTTATTTCATAATATATGAAACATCACTGGCACCAACGAAAATCTCAAATGATAAAAAATTTGGATGTGAACCATACTTTGCTTTCGATACTTTCTCCTGATACGCAATCTTTAAGGGATGGTGTATTACTTCTGCTCGATGCTTTTGAACCAGCTTTACTCACTGAACCTTCCTTTTCACTCTCAACAGCTTGCGATGATAGCAGTCTCACTTCGGGCATTGACCACTCACCATTAGTCAATTCGAACTCCTAAACGGAAATCATGATTACAAAAACACATTTTCCAGGACTGCATAAACTTTTAAATTTTGCTTTAAAAGCTCCTAAAACTTTCAACCATAACCAAATTTAATTACAATAACTTATTCATTACTTGTGCATGCACATTTATGGCGATGTTGAGTACGAAATAAATTAAAAATACTGAAAAATAATATATGTAAAAACTACCTGCACTTTCTTTCTAATCAAGGACATTATTCCAATTCGAGTTAGAACATGCTGTCGATTTAAACCTTCACGAGGTACACCATCATTGAATGATTCTTGAGAATCTGCTCCAGGCTCACACAAATGTCGCATGAATAGCGAAGTATAAGCTTTGAATGCACGTTCTGATTTACCCTTAAATATGTATGCTATTGAAGTTCTGACTTTGCCTTTAGAGAAATTCTCGTTTGTTTTAGAGAAAGCAATTTTCAGTTCGTAGGAACCTCCAGCAAAATAATGAGACTCAATATTCATCAGTAAAAAATGCTATCTAATTTGATTGGCAAAGATTTTTTGTCTAACCTGAGTCAAAAAAACAAAAAAGAAAATCTCAAAACAAACTTTTAAGTCCCTCACGAGCCACTGTGAATGATAAGTATCCTGTGGAGGCATGCCCCACCGCATAACGGCATTATAAAATGCTCGTCGTTGTCGGGGATTAAAACCCAAAACCTAAAATATAAAGTACATGAAGGAATGATCAAGATGATTTCTGAAATGCAACAAAATCTCAACAAATTAAAATCCATAGCAAAATAACCTCTAACTGCCCATTCACGCGTGCTAGGAGCGGAGGCAATTTCTCATCACCACGATCCCGATGACGTTTCCTTCCTAGCTGACTGCTGTCGAATTCATCATCTTCTCCTTCTCCGTCCGAACGACCACTATCACCGCTATACGAAGACGAAAAATCGTCATTGTTTGGATGCATCTGTTGCCAGTCTTGCTGCATATTTTCTGATGCGTAATTGACCTGAATTAATCATACATCAACAAGAACAATTTGGATTCATAGCTAACATTTCTGTCAAAAGTAGAAACCTTCCACTTAAGTTTCCTAACATAAAAAATTTAAATGTAACCAATTCAAACAGTCCATCAAATTTTATCAGAAAAAGACTTATTATGTACCTGCTTTCTAACACGTTTTCCTTTACCGAGTTTTTGTGCCTGTGTTTCTTGCTCCTGTTCATAATGATGACGAAGGAGCTTTTCCCAGTAATCAGGATCCGCTTCCTGTGCAGCCTCTTTAATCACTTCAGTCTTGTCCTAGAAATTCTTATAATTTTAAGATTTCTATCAAATTTAACGAAACAACTAGATGAATAAAAAACAAAGTGTATAAGTTATAATTATTGTAAAAATATTCATTGCTTACTTCATCTTCTACCTCTTCTTCGTCAGCTTCTCGAGTAGTATACTGTGCAACTTTAAAAGAAGAGAGATATTCGTTACTCCAGTGTTCTTTTTTCTCGCCCGATTTTTCTTTCGGATCATCAGCAGATCGATCTAACAACGCATCGACTGCCTCATCATCCCAAATAATTTCTTGCTCACTTGCTTTCTTTTCACCTTGCTCACCCTCAGAAGTCGTTGTTTCATCTTCCTTCAATTTTGGTTGCATTACAACAGTTACACATGAATAAGTTAGTTGAACCTTATGCCACACAGTTATACTCTTGAATATATTGTAACAAAGGAACATGCCAATCCTCCGAATTAGTTATTAGAACATATTTAATTCTTTAACCTTGAAAAGTTCTTCGGTTCCCCAACGCAATACTTCATCTAATTCGCTCTTACTCATTGAAGGTCCTTTCTGTCCAATTCCAGCACGAACAACAAGATGAGTTAGTAGCATTTTTTTTTTCGCGACTGATGTGATTCTTTCCTCAACTGAACTACGAGTAACAAACCGATAAATTAAAACTTTTTTTTGCTGTCCAATACGGTGAGCTCTGCTAAAAGCCTGAAAACAAAACCTTTATTCATGACTTTAATCAGAGACAAGGAATCCCAAAACAAAATATACTGACTTGAATATCATTGTGTGGATTCCAGTCCGAGTCATAGATGATAACGGTGTCTGCAGTGGCTAAATTAATCCCAAGACCACCAGCTCTCGTAGACAGTAAGAAAACAAACTGCTGAGCATTTGAAGCTAAATAGCAAAATTGTATGGCAAATTGATTTGAAATGAAAAAACTATTATTAAAGCATTATAAAGCTTGAAACGCTAAAAAACAAAAATTGTAATAGAAACCATTGAACCGATCAATTGCATCCTGCCGTGCCTGTCCAGTGATTGAGCCATCGATACGTTCATATTTATAACCTTCATTTTCACAAAAATCTTCCATGATATCCAGCATTTTTGTCATTTGAGAAAAGATAAGTACTCGATGTCCTGTTCAATAAGTCATTTTGAAAAATCATCACCTTAATTTTTTAAATGATCAAACGAAATATGCAAAGCACAAATTTACCTTGTTCCTTTAATTTTTTGAGCATTTTCTGCAGCAATATAAACTTTCCGGATGCTTTCACCAGTGCAGTACCCTCGTAAATTCCATTCTTTAGTTTTGGTGCTTCAATGCTAGCTTTTGGAAATAGGTAAGGATGGTTGCAACATTTTTTAAGATCCATGATGATATTGATGAGTGAAATTTGTGAGCCACCTCCTTTAGGACTTAATGCTTCGAAATTCCGTGTTAAAATATTTTTGTAATATTTCCTAAAATTGTAAAATGACCGAAATGAATACGAATTAAGTAGGTTATTAAAAAAGGGAATGATATCATACTTCTGCATGGGAGAAAGCTCGACACGAACAATGAGTTCACTTTTAGACGGCATGCCTGACAATACATCAGCTTTCAAACGACGTAACATATGAGGGCCTAATAATGAATGCAATTTTTGAATTTGGTCTTCCTTCGAAATTTCAGCAAATTCGTGAGTAAATGAATCCATATCGCTAAAATACGCTTTTTTTGAGGCGAACGAATTTATATCTCTATATCAATTATACACCCAATTTACTTCAATACTAAAGTAAATGGAAAAGCAAACTAACTAAAATCTATCAGGCGATAGAAAGTTCAACAAATGAAATAGCTCTTCTAAATTATTCTGCAATGGAGTGCCCGTGAGAAGTAAACGATAATTAATTCGAAAATCACGCAGAGTGCGGAAAAATAACGACTGATTATTTTTTAGACGATGTGCTTCGTCGACGACTAAGCCAGCCCATTCAATTGATGATAAAATGGACTGAAAAACTTCATTGACGCGGATAAATTTTGAAGTTATTTTTATTATTGTTGCTTTCGGTGATTTCGTGTTTCTATTATTCAATTTAATCTATTACTTACCACTCAACAAAGGAAGCACAAAACTAAATATAATATGAGATAATGAACTACCAGAACACAGTGGCATTTGATAAAACCTAATCTCGTTTGACGGTTAAATGTAATTTTAAGTAGCTTAAAAAACAACAGAAGCAATTATAACTTTATCAAATGCTAAAATTACCTTGTCGATATTAATCAGCTCATATGAAGTAAGCAACACATGAAACTTGATCCCCTGATCAGTTTTCAAACGAGAAGGTTTTGTGCCCCCACGCACAGCACCCTCAATAAATGAGAATTCGTGCTCCCTACAAAGTATTTAAACTTTGATCATTTAAAAAACTGCCCAAAAGTAAGTATCTTGGGTCTAAAATTATAATACCTGAAACTAATGTGCATATATTCATTACCATGAAAATCATTGATGTTAAGAGCACTGGCAACTGCCTAAATCAGTATATCAAAATATATACCTAATTACAGTACGACTGTCTTTGTCGCCCACATAAGTCACAACATAGAAATCTGGACACCAAAATTCAGCCTCCCGCTCCCAGTTAATTAAAGTTGAAAGTGGTGCTGCAACCTACAACAGAATTGACTGCAAAATTTAGTTTAAGTTGGGCAGCATCAAAAATGAAGTGGCATCAATGGTATTAAATGAATTTTCAAAAATTTCACAGCTGCAATCATTAAAAAGGTTTTAAAGCCGGACAAAACTCTAATGTTTCAGTACAAGGTGTACCAGAAATGGACCGCGTGTATGACCCTCTTTGACTAATGAGTACAGGAACACCATTGACTGAATGGTTTTCCCAAGACCCATCTCGTCCGCCAAAATCGCATCTGTTCCTTGTGACCAACAGTGCCTTAACCAGTTGATACCTTCTAATTGATAATCATGCAACTTTCCACCTGTTTCGGTGATGAAATCCGGTTGTGTTTCATATTTTTTTCGAAGCTAAACTTAAGGAAAATGATGAATCTTACAAAGAAACAACTTAAGTTTTACTAACAATAATAATAATGAAAGTTATTGTTTGAATTGTCATTAGAGTTACACTTAAAATTCACATGGAAAAAATTTAGTCGAAGAGGAAACAAACATCTGTTTTCGGTTCTTTCTTTTTCTTTTTTTTGCCATCGTCGTCTTCTTCTTCCTCTTTTACTTTACATTCTTCAACTTTCCTCGCAGCTATCCTTTTAGCTACATGCTTTGGAACAGCATCGCCATTCATACGCTGCCTACATTTCAGCAAGTAAATTTTAGATGTTTACCAGTACAGTTAACATAATTTATTCAAAATTTATCGCAGTAAAAATTTCTGAAACTATATTGTGAACCTAAAATAAATATTTTTTCCTCTAAATCAAAGCATTGTCTCTTATAAAAATACAATATGCTGCATCAAATCTTTAGCGCCAAAAATACCTATGACTCCAATATTTTATGATAGCGTCTTCATAACCCATAATTTCAAAATCGTCACGCTCCCATGTAGCCTGTTCATAAACTAGTTCCCTCCATTTGACCAAATAATCGAATTGTGTTTTGCCATACTGCACATGATTGATGATGCGCTGTACTTGCATCCACTCCGGTTTTATACCTAAACAATCGCATTGCTCTCCATGTATTTCGGAAGTAATTGTTTGCTTCATGCAAACTGGGGATCAAATGTTCTCAAAAATCAAATGAGATGTTAAGCGAGTAGTGAAAACATTGAAACTATTACCGTAGCGGTAAAATCGTTCTTCCAGGTTATGTGGATCTTGCTCTTCTTCCTTCTTTTCAATCTTACAAGTCTGCAAATCTTCTTGACTTCCATCGTCTATTTCAGGAGGTGTGTCTGGATCCATTTTTCGCCAGTACATGCGAAGGAACTGTAAAAAATGAATCACAAGTCAACGAACCACTAAAATGAACTAATTAAGTCAGTAAATTAATGGAAGTTATCAAAATAGTTACAATTACCTGTGTGAAGTGCACATCTAGAACTAATTCATTTATCCACTCACAATGCCAGTAACTCATATATTTCCACTTGATGAAAAGTTCACGTTCTCGGCGGTTTGGAAGTTGTTTAGGAGGTTTTAAAGCGATTTTGCGCCCACTTTCTTGATTTTCTAACTCCTGTAATAACATCAAATTTTGATGTACGTGTCTAATCGCCTTATATATTAGTGTTTCAATCCTCAAGGCCAGAATATAATGCTAGTCTATGAAATTGACTCAACATAAATTTTAAAAAAAATACTAAAATCGATGTAACAATTGCAAAGTTTTACTTTCATTTCTTCTTCTGTCATCGGCTGTGGATAAGGAATCTCCACCCATCGCCAAGAGAGGCATTTTTCAGGACGATTTTTTGGTTCTGGACATACACAACGTGGACATGACCAGTCACCTTCTGGTATTCCAGTCAATGGAGGGTTCAAGCAATATGCATGATATGAACTTGGACAAGTGTCACAACACAGTAACCAACCTCCTTCCTTAAAATTTGAAGTATGTTAAACAAGAATACATTCTTATTGTTTACTGACAACCTGACTTCTGAAAATTAGCAAAAAAAACCTTGCAAGTACGACAGTACTCCATATTCGTTGCTATTTTTTTTTCTTCTTCATCTTCTCTAGTTGCACCTGCACTCTCACAAGTAGGACAAGACCATCGCCCCTCCGGAGGTTCTTCCATGTCCGGATCTAAGCAAACCAGGTGGTAAGCTTTCGGACATGTATCACACAATATTATTTCCCCACCTTGTTGACAAACTTCACAGTAATCTTGATGATCCGTCTGCAATGAGCTACCGTTAGTGTCGGTTCTCTGAAATATGATGATAATGTGTATTCTCTATTGTATAATTGCATGTGAATATATTATAAAGAGGTTCAAGAATGATTAACACGAAAAAAATTGAATGTAAAATCGCACTGTAGTACATTTATTTGTATCAAACCTCATATCCATCCTCGCCTTTCTTTTTCTTTCCTTTTTTCTTAGCAGATCGAGCTCGAGCTGCTCGACGTTCCTCTTTTTCACGCTCCTCCTCATCAAGTTGCTTTTCATGTTCTTTTAATAAGTGCTCAAATTCTTGATCACTATCTTCTGTAAAACTGCTATTTATAACTTGATTATGTCTACTTCTTTACACATTTTATACAATAAAATTATTTTCTCATTTTGTTAGCAAAATTTTTGCTAAATTTCTTTCTTCAATTCGGCATTACATAATTACTCAGTTTGAATTTTGAATTTTTAACTTACGATTGGTATCATCATCTTCATCATCATTACGCCGTTTTTTGCGGGCACTTATTCGAATTTTGATAGGTGCAACAACTTTATCTCCACTAGCTGCTAATGAGCGTAATTTCTTAGCAGAACCAATGGGTCTTCCCTGAGCAACCATTTCTTCCTAAAATTATTCCAGTTGTTTCAGTCCAATTTTTTAATTTTACCAGTAATGCCCCGCCTATTTTTTTCGTATTCTCCAATTAAACCACTACTACAGTGCGCTAAAATAAGATTAGTTAGGAGAGTACAGAGTTTAAAATCAGTAGCACTGTGAGGAGTTCCGACACTGCCGATTTAGAACTCTACTCTCCAAATGATTAATTGCAGTTACGAAAGAAGTCAGTCAGACATCCCAAGTGATGCCGAAAGTCATTGGCTTTCTCTACTACGCTCACTTCGTGTTACACGCTTGACTTGCAAATTCTCCAACACATTACCTGAAACTCTCTATATTTTGCTTGTATTAACTGTTGCAGTTTTGAAAAAAGTGCTTTAGGATTTGCTGCTTGCAATTGAGGTCTGACTCGAAATGCGAATGCCTGAAAATAATTGAACTTTTGATCAACTGATTGTCTGCTGTCGAAAGAATTTGCCAGTGTAGTGCCATTTATAGGATGAAATTGAAATTTCTGTGCTAGAAAGTATCAACTCTCAACTGCTGGAAGGAGAGTTCAAAGTAGAAACACATGTGCAAGCAATTCACCTTGGCTGATGTTATGGCACTGATGTCATCTTCTGTAAAATTGTTTGGAACATCAACCAAGCCAAGCATTGAGCAAATTTCATTCGGGTTGGCATTCGAGTCAATAATACCTTCTCTTTTCTTTTTTGAACGTCCTTTTTTGGACCCTTTTTTTCGTTTCGCAGATCGAGAATGCTCAGATACTATAAATTACAAGTCTCTAGACGCATTTTGCAAATCAAAATGACTGCAGATTTCTGCTATGCAGCAAATGATGCAATTATACAGTGCAATGTTTTCCTTCGACTGAGAAAATCCCTTGTTCTGTGAACGGCATGTAATAATAGAATTTAGTGGCTCTTTAAGGCTTTATCCTTGGTGTCAATACTGGACAACAATTAAGGTATGCATTTAAATTTTAGGTACCATTAATTAATGAAACTGTTTTAAATCGGTTCACCATAAGCTTGTCATAGCATAGAATTTCGAATACTGTAATATATGCATCTTTGTGTTGGTTTTTATGTGCTTTATATATGTTTAATATATATATATATTAAACAGAACTGCATAGTTTCATCCTTACTAGTAGAAATTTAAAAATATTTAAAATGAAACTGCTGACAACTGAAATAAAATAGTAATTTAAAGTATTATGAAGACAAACCACCTGCTTCTTCAGTGACATCCTCTTCTTCATGATCTTCTTCTGCAAGATCTCCTTCATTACTATTAATGGAATCTTCTTCCATCCCCTCTGCAATTTTTGTAAAAGTTTTTTTGGTAGTCTTCGACAAAAAGTACTTTTGATTCTACTAAAACAATAGTTTACCTCTTCATAAATACCTGACTGCCATCACACAGAAAACATAATGAAACCAACTCCGTTTAAATTTTAAAACAATTTTAATCTTTCAAAAATGAAAAAATTGTATCATAACTTGCTTATAAAAAAACTGCAGCTTATTATTCATTTTTATGCTGTCCTTATTACTTTCTTATAAACTGATATGCAGTGAAAGAGCTGTAAAGCATTTTGCTGTTGCACTTAAATAGTTTGCCAATTAGGAAGAAATAATTGGGTGTCATCACATCAACTGCATATGCGTGTATTAGAAGTAGATTTCTAGTAAAATAATATTACAGTTACCGTGCGGAGCAGGCGACTGACTAAAAGTAATGGTTGGACCGTTGATAGTAGTAGTAGTAGTAGTAGTAGTATTACTAATAGCAATAGTTGTAGTAGTAATAGCAGGAACAGTTGAAAGAGTACTGATGGTAGTAACAGCAGAAGTAATTTGTTCTATATCCTCATATGACATGATTTGATGAATATCACTTGTTTTCGTGGACGAACTTTAATGAATCCAGTATGCTGTTTATTCCCTGATGAAAATTGCACGTAACTAATTCATGTCTAACTGTATTCAACTAATTATGTTATGAGCATAAAACGTGTACATGTAAAAGTAAGCGTATTACCATAAATATTAAACTTACCTGAAGTTAACTTTAACCTTTCGGTTAACTGTTTGTAACTAGTATATGGTATGAGCATAAAACGTACATGTAAAAGTAAGCGTATTATCATACATATTAAATTTATCCGATGTTAACTTTAACTTTCAGAAGTTTGTTCTTAATCTTTTAATATATTAAACTGGCAGAAACATGGAACAATTGAGATTTAATATTAATCTATATATTAATATGAAAGCATAGCGTATTCTTTAGAATTACAAAATTAATTACTGAGCTGAATTTCTCATTTCTCTTTGCAATTACTGATGTTACCTTTAACCTTGTGCGTTCTCTCCACTTTTTCTATATTATAACCAGCAAAATTATTATCGATATAAACGAGAAATCAATTGATCAATGCAATGTGCAAACTGTAAGCAAATGAATGCAAATGTTGATGTACACAATATATGTACACACATACGAATAAATATACACACATTTTGAATAATATTAAGCATAATTTGAAGAGATGGATGAAGTGTAAAGGGATGAATAGACTGAAGAAACAAAACCTGGTATATCCCGGGCATAAGAAACCATGGAAATGAGCTGAACTGATTGTAGTAGGATTTACTACTTTGCATTATTGACTTCGGAGAGCAATTATAAAACGACAAGACTAAAAGACTGATTCAGCTGAGATCGAGTGGAATGTAAGAAATAATCACAACTGCACTAAAAACTGCGATCGTCCTGTTAAGAGCAGACGGCGAAGAAGCGCAACCGAGAGACACGTAAATAATGCGGGACGAATGCTGCAGAGATAATTCAGGTCAATTCTTCAACACGATCTGGTCAACTATAATGAGACCAGACATGCTAGTTATGCAAACAGTCGGAAGTATCCAGGAGGCACTAAGAAGCTCAGGTAGAAGGTTGACAATGTTTAGGTAAGGCTGATGTACTGCATCACAGAAAAGTATATTAAACTTGACTTCCATAGTCATCGATTCCCTTCGGCATTCATGACAATGAGTATGCGTATAAAACTAATGATTAAATAACCTTGGAATGAAATTAGTCCGAAGATAACGCTGTGATGATTGAACTACCTGGCTGAATAACAAATTCACGTAATTTTGACAACAACAATATTTATGATCTTCCTGGCACCGTGCCAAACGCTTTAACGTGTGTTAAGGAGCACTAAATAATAATATGGGCAAAGCAAAAGTTCCCCAATTTCATCTTAGAGTTCTCTCTCTCGATCGATTCTTAATTGAATCTGTAATGGCAAAAACCACAAATGGCACCAACAATATTTACAATTTTTTCCCTTCAAAACTAAACTTAATTTAGAATTTATGAAGTGAAATAAATGCATAGAAACCAATTTATGCCACCGAAATTATTTATATTTTATATATTAACGATCAATCCAATATCATAGAATAGGATTATTCAAATTTGTAATATACTGTTAGTTGTCCCTCGCGTACAAATATAATAAGCATGTTGTAAAGTGTGATCATCATCACTGCGTCTCTCGCGCAGTCTGTTTGAAATGTTATTCATAGTCAAAGGTCAAAGTCCAATCGAGCCAAAAGGTAAGCCATCATCACCAATAACAAGGAAATATGTGGCGATACGATCGATAGTGACGTGAAGAAAATTCAAAGCCAGTCATTCATTCAATCACCCATTCATACATTCATTAATTCATACATTCATTCATTCATATATTCATTCATTCATATATTTATTCATTCATACATTCATTCAATCGCTCAT